ATGACATTTTACCTATAGGGAAAAAAACCTACTCAAATGACATATTTGTCATCATAGACCTGGATGCCAGAAGGAAATGTCCCATTTTAAAATGCTGAATTAAAACACACACACACACACACACACAATTCTTTATCTAGCTTTATTATTCTTCAGGAATGAAGGGAAAAATCAAGACACTCCCTGATGAAGGAAATTTAGGAGAATGTCACACCCTAATGAATGACTAAATTAAGTTCTTGAATATTCATGATATTGTTTTACTAAAGGAAGATATAATTATGATTATCCCAAATGTATAAACGAGAACATGGAAGCTTAAAATAATGATAAGAGTTTATCAAAGGTTGTCAATTAACAAGGCTTTTATTTCCCCCTTTTTGCCTCCTCTGTTACACTTCAGTACCCCCCACCATAAAAAAAAAATCAGTTTTTTAAATCTTTAACTCTTAAATGGAGTTATGTCTTTTAATTGTAATATTGTAATAGTAATTGTAATATCACATTCACAGAACTAGACTATAAAAATGGGTATAATACATTTAACAAATTGCAGAAACCATATTCTTCAAATATCCTGCCTTAGCTAAGGTTTATAATAACAAACAGCGAAATCATTTTGAATCTACTGGGGCCAATTTACTGGCGTAGTGCACAGGGTCCAGTGCTTCCAGCTATAATTAGAAAATGGAGCCTGCTCTCCATTAGTTTTGGTTACTATAATAATTCCATATGCAACCCATGCCTGCTGACTAGTGAACTAGATCATGTATCTTCTATAAATTGCTCTTGTTAGTCCCTTGTAATTTATTTTATGTTTCCAACAACAGTTTCAAACCAGCAGTGTCAGGAACACATGTTTTTACGCTTAATGAAAAAACAGACTAGTGAATGTGTGCCTCCAACCTCATCCTCACTCCTAGCTATTAGTGTTTATGTAAAATACTAAATATTTTTGAAAATTATCAAAGATTGCAAAAGTGGATTTTCATCTTTTGAGCTCTAAAGGTTGATGGACCCTATGCTGAAAACATACATAGAAAACATACATCCTTTCGCCAAGAACCTTTATTACAAAATTATGAAATCTCATCTCTAAACGAGACTATAAAATAATTTATAATCTGCATTATTTTTGCTATTCTTTATTTTGATAGTTTGTTAGTGTATATTATTTGAAATTTGATATAAACATCCATTGTGGATTTTAATTCAGTTAATATTAAGGTGTGTAATATGTCTTAGATTAGCAAAGAACTTTTACCGTTTTTGTCCTTGGGCACATCTACAGTCAGTAACCATTAACAGTATGCTATTTTCTTATTCCATTCTGGCATATTGTCAATGCTCATAAATATATGCATAGCCTCAAACAGAATATCTTACCAAATAAGTATTGATAATGTGTCAGATGCATGGTATTTCAATAGCTATTCTATAGAGATATATACAATTATGGAGGGTAAAATATCCAATATTGAGCTACACAAATATCTATGCCTCACATATTGCTTTTCAGATATGGCTTCTTTTAATAAATAAAAAATTTGGTTCATAACATAAAAATATATAAGCTAAATAAATTGGTTTTTAAATGTTTTAGAGCATTAAATTATAGTCTGACATATTAGTAGGTGATCAATGCTTATTAAATAAATGAGTGAAAACTTGCAACACAAATATAAAACTGAACAGTTAGATATAAAATGAGCCTTTGTAGTGATTAACATACAATTTTTTAGAACTTTTAGAATAAAAATATTTTAAACAGTAATGAGTACAACCAAATTTCAAATAAATCCCTAACATTGAGAGTATCATACATAGACTTCATTCACAGCATGATAATACTATTTGTAGAATATGTGTACATATAAAATATAAACTGATTATTCACATTTTATATCCCTATGCCTATACGTCTGAATTTCTGCATATACAATTTTTTAAGATTAAATCCTGATCATTTATGAGATAAAACTATAAAATCACAATAGACTTTAAAACACCAAAGCTCTTTTGAACCCAAACCTTTATCCCAATATTAAGAGTAATGAAGCTTCAAGAGACAGTTGTATACACATTAATTACTATCATCATTCAAGCTACTTTCCCTTAGGGCCACCATATTTCTAAGCCAAAAGGGCATTCTTAGCCCACTATGGCAATTAGTATCTGATAAATGATGCTACTGCCACACTTCTAATATAGTGATTGATCATTTCCAATTAATTCCTGAGAGAAATCAATGATTTCTTCCTGAAGCATTTACATTAACTAATTTATGTTAATACGAATACTCTATATCCGTAATTTGCTAGGGAAGATGGACCATTCTATTTATAACTGGTTACTACTTTAGAACTTTGGTATACTGTTTCAGAGCTCTAAATATAAATATAAAAGCTATAAAGATCAAGTAAAATTGGACAGTTTAACCACAGCAAGTAATCTTTACATTGGTAAATGTTGATCAAACTCAAATTCTAACAAAGAAGTGTTGGAAAATTTTTCAAATTGTTTGTAGCTTAGAAATGTTACCATATATTGGGGACCCTACTTTTGTATGGATTTATACTCTTTGTATCTACTACTAAAATGGCTTGCATTTTTAAAGCTATAACTCTAAGGGGGTTGTAATCAAATGTTTCCTCCATTCCTATTCCTTTTATTTTGTTTGCTCCGTTTCTAATGTGAGGGCCTTGGATGTTCAAGCAGCACAGAGTCTTGTCCTCACTGAGCTTATACTCTAATGGAAAAGACAGACACACATCAACACTAAAATGGGATACAATTAATGGGAAAAATGGGTGGTCTGAAGGAAAACAACAGAGTGTGATATATTTAGATAGAGGCATTATGGTGAGAAATGAAATTAAAGTGAGCAGTGAAGGACCTGGGTGATAACATTCTTGGCTAAGGAATAATGAAAGTAAAGGCTTTAAGACAGAAAAAAGCTCAGCCTATTCCAAGAACTGAAAGAAGACCTTTATTTTGGAGTCTATAGAAATTGGCTTAGTATGGAATTCCTTATCACTAAAAACAGAAGATGAATTATGTGGGTATATTAGTATAGATAGATGTAGTAGTAGACGTCTGCTTAAGTTCTCTTCCGATTACTTCAAATTTCTCAGTGAATATGGGAGTCCACTACTTGAGCTGTTAGGTGGAGATAGATTGTAGAAGTGCAGTAAAGAAAGTATAGAAACCAGCCAACTGCAGTGATCTGGCTGAGATATGATGGATGAATGACCATATAAATTATCAGCCAAACCAGGAAACTTTAGAGAATAAAAGGGGACACTTGTATTAATTATGCCAGGACAACAGGCATAACTCAAATCTGTCCTGAGCAAGCAATGATTTATGGTCATCCTAGCCTACGCTAAGGGGATGAGTAAAAATGGAGATAAGGAAAAATATACTGATGGAAGGAATGTGAAGGTTAGAAAAGAGGGAATATTTGAAGATAATTCCCAGTTTCTACTTATTGAGAAATACATGGGAATAAGCAGGCTTATAAGTGGGAATATAGATTTCTGTTTTGGATATGTTTGGTTGAGTGGCTTATGAGACATTTACAGACAGTCCTTGGGTTACGTCCAACTCCCACGTACGTCATTTCATGGTTATGTCGCCATCTCTCATTTATTTATAAAAAGTTCTGTCATCTCGCCGAAACCGGTTTGGCTCAGTGGATAGAGCGTTGCCCTGCGGACTGAAAGGTCCCAGGTTCGATTCCGGTCAAGGGCATGTACCTGGGTTGCGGGCACTTCCCCAGTGGGGGATGTGCAGGAGGCAGCTGATCGATGTTTCTCTCTCATCGATGTTTCTAACTCTCTATCTCTCTCCCTTCCTCTCTGTAAAAAATCAATAAAATATATTAAAAAAAAAAAAAAAGTTCTGTCATTTCGACATATGTACATATATGCTTTATGTTTTTTATTATTTATTTATCACAAGTAAAGGTCAGGAATTGTTCTTCTTTTGATTTTTTTTTTTTACTCTTTCACTTCATTACTGCTGTGAATGTGCTCCATGTGAGTGACATGGGTGCTTATGTAGGTGGGTTCCAACTTACAGCGAAAATCACGCCATGTGGCGCCACAGGAACGGAGCTCCGCGGTAACCCGAGGACCTGCTGTATATGGGGATATTGGTCACGAAGCTCTGATGAGAACTCTGGGCTGGAGATACAAATTGTGCACATAGGTAGTATTTAAATGGATGAGAACACATGGCAACCAGACTATTAAATTCTGAGAAATCCCAGCAAAGGTTGATTAGGGGAGAAATTAGCCAGAAAATTAAATTGAGAAAAAGTAGCTAGAAACCCAGGAGGAAACCAGGATAAAGTAGTATCACATAGGTTTTGAGAATAGAATTTCAAGCTTAGTTTCAATAAAAGGGAGGGGTCAAAATGTCTGAAGTTGCAGGAAAGTCTAGTAATTTGATACAAGAAAAATGTTCCTTTGCATTTGGCATCATGGAAATAATTGTGACCTTGACAAGAGTTATTTCTTAGTATTGAGGACAGAAATTAGATTGATGTGAGTTACCATATCTGACAACACAAAGAAAAGTCTTCAGTACTGGGGAGTTCAAAAACTGTTTCTTCTTCGAAAACTACGTTTGTTTGTTTTTTATTCTTACCTGAGGGATATGTTTTGTTTTTATTGCCTTTTTTTGAGAGGGAGAAGCATTGATGTTTCCCATACTGACAGGGATCAAACCTGCAGCCTAAGTATGTGCCCGGATCCGGAATGGAACCTGCAACCTTTTGGTACACGGGACGACCTTCAACCAACTGAGCCTCAGGCCAGGGCGAAGTACTATCTTTTCAGCATTCTTAGAAATGGTCCTTCTAAACTACTGTTAATTGCATGGCTTAAATGTCATCTCCTCTACCCAGAAAACCCATGGTACCACACACCAACCTTTCATATATTACCATTACAAGTTAGTACCTAAAATGTATTTTGGACACATGAGAGTATAGATTTGGTGGCAACACTGACATTTTAATTCTGTAAACCATATGTTCAAGTAGTCAGTAGAGAATGTTGCCCATCTAGAACTGGGCTTGGGCTGAGACCTGGACCTTGTCTTTCCCCAAAGGCAGCATCACGCACGGCTCCCAAGAGCTAACAACAGGTCGGTCCAGATGCTAAGGCCAGGCGCCTCGAAACCTCCATCCTGCGCCTTGCAAGTCTCCAGGGCACGAAGAGCTTCATCTTTCAGGGGCGAGGGGGCCTGACAGAGGCTCTGAAACCGGCTGTACAGCTCCTCCCAGGGCCCCTCTCGGGCCTCGGCGCCAACCCACAAGCCCTTCTGGAGATCGTAGTGCAGCCGCCGGCCCCAGTCGGTCAGCAGACCCAGGTAGACCGGGACGAGCTCCGGGTGGCGACCCACCACCGAAGCTAAAAGCCCGGCCGGGAGGCTGTGGCACAAAGCGGCCATGGTGTCTGGCTGGCCCAGAAGCCATTGAACCAGCTCGTGACGCCCCTCTCCCGGGGCCTGGGGGCTGTCCAGTTCCAGCTCCTTTTGGGGGGGCCCGGGGGGCAACGACGGCGGCGGCAGCAGCGCGGCTGCTATCACCTCCAGGAAGCTGTTCTGGGGCCCGCGCGCCCACAGGCCGCTGAGCAGCGCGCGGGGGCCCTCCGCCCCGGCCTCGCCCACCTCCTGCAGACGCCGCAGCAGCAGCTCGGCCTGAGTCTCTACCAGTGGGTCCCGCCGAGCGGCCGGGTTCTCTCCCAAACCGCTGGCGCGCAGCAGGTGGACGGCGGCCCGGCGGCGGGCGAGGAGGGCCAGGCGGTCTTGCAGGGTCTCCTCCTCGGCGTCCCGGACGCCGGGGCCGGGGCAGAGCTGCTGCAGCAGGCAGCGAAAGGCGGCATCCCCGAGGGCCCGGTTCCCTAGCAGGTACTGAGACAGCAGGAGGTCGCAGCGCCCCAAGGCCCGGAAGTTCGTCAGCCCCGAGAAGGCGGCGGGCCCGGGGCCGTCCTCCCGCCTCCACCGGTCCTGCAGCCGCCGCTCCAGGGCCGAGCGGATGCCGGCATGACGGCCAAAGCGCCTGTAGACGTGGCGCAGGTAGCGAGCCCACTGCAGGGCCCGGCGCACGGTCGCGGGGTCCCAGCTGCGGACGTGGGCGGTGCGGGAGACGGCCAGCACCTCTGAGAAACGCTCCAGCTGCTGCGAGAGCGACTCCATGGCGGCGCGCGAGGGCCTGACTTCCGTTTTCACCCTGGCGGCGGCGACTCCCTGCGAGCTGATTGGCGTGTCTGTGGAAATGATACGCCTCCCTACAAGGCTATTGGGCGCGGTCGCTGTCAATCTGACAACTCCACTTTAATCCGGGTACTTAGAAGCGTTTAAACTGGAGAAACGGCGGGGTGGTGTTACTTCGTCCTTTGAACTCTTAGGGGCGGCAGAGTAAGTGCAGGACATCCTAGCGGGAATTCCAAGAGCCACGTGAGAGATGCTCATTTAATGAAAATGTTATTAAATGAAATTTTAGGATCCATTCACCCTAGTAAAAATGTACTGACTCCCACTGATTAATGCCAGGCACTATGCAAAAGTCTGGACCGTGACATTGTTCTTTCATTATTAAAACTGAAGCCCCGGTTAATGGAAACGAAAAGTAAAATAAGATATTTTGAGAGCGAGACCACGGTCACATAACTTCTATTATAGTCTATTATAATTGATCTGTTTTATTATTAGTTATTGTTGTTAATCTCTCACTGTGCCTAATGTATAAATTACACTTTTTTTTATAGGTATGTGTGTATAGGAAAAAACAAAAAAAGTATATAGGAATCATACTGCTTGTGTTTGCAGCATCCACTGGGGGTCTTGGGCTTCCCACTCAGGTAAGGGGGCGGAGACATGAATGTAGTATAGTGTGCGCTGTGGATACCGCTACCAACCTCCCACTTCTTGATTATGATTTCTAAATTCCTGGGTTACAATAAATTAGGAGAGAGAATGCAAGAGCAAATTTCAGGAGATTTTGTTAAAATCTGACATCAATCAAACCATGGGAATTAAGCATCATGAATAAAAAGGGTTAGATAAAGGTGCTTTCACAAAGTGCCAACCTCATCGGGTTCTGGTGAAGACTAAATGAGATAATAAATGTAAAATGCCATTCTTGATATCATGGTTTTCTTTTAATATTCATTCTTCCATCACCTCGCCTTCTTTGCATAATAACGATGCAATTCTGGATACTGATTCCAGCTCAGCTCAAGGAGGAAGGCCTGATAATTTTGAGTCAATCATTTTAAACTATCCCTCCTCTTAATTCAATAATTAATTTAGGAACCCAGTCTTAAATCTATCTATGTATAGCATTTTTTCATAACAATTTTTTTCCAGAAGTGTCCAGGTGAATCAGTTGCAATCCATTAGGCCTTAGTAAGCAATCAGAGGAAGAGAGACTTTAGGGTTTTTATTTCTCTGTTCTCTGCTAAGGCATCAGTAGTCCAGCTTCTTCCTCAAAAATTCCAGGAGGCCTGCCTGAGCGTCTGAGAGCACATACTGCTCCCTGCAGCCCTGGAGTGTTCCTGCTGTTGCGAATTCCTGGAAGCCCTGGCATACCGTGTAGATCCCCTTAGTGCTGGCCCATCCCTATGAATACTGCTCTGTTAAACTTTCTAAATCCCTACTGACTGTGCCTGTTTCCCACCAGGATCTTGCTTGAAACAGTTCTTTCAGTTTTCAGCCATTCTTATCCTATCTAATAAAGAGGCAATATGCAAATTGACCATCACACCCTCACACAAGATGGCCACCCCATGTGGTCGCAAGATGGCCACCACAAGAAGGCTGGCAGGGGGGGCAGTTGGGGGTGACCAGGCCAGCAGGGGAGGGCAGTTGGGGGGGACCAGGCCTGAAGGGGAGGGCAGTTGGAGGGGACCAGGCCAGCAGGGGAGGGCAGTTGGGGGGGACCAGGCCAGCAGGGGAGGGCAGTTGGGGATGATTGGGATGGCAGGAAGGGCAGTTGGGGGTGACCAGGCCAGCAGGGGAGGGGTTAGGCATCGATCAGGCTGGCAGGGGATGGTTAGGGGCAATCAGGCAAGCAGGAAGGTGAGTGGTTGGGAGCCAACAGTCTGGAATTGTGAGAGGGATGTCCCAAATTGGAGAGGATGCAGGCTAGGCTGAGGGACACCACCCCCCCCTCCCCCCCAGTGCATGAATTTCATGCACTGGGCCTCTAGTAATTAATATAAATCTGTGAGTCATAATATTATCAACCATGTATTTTAGGAATGCAAATTGTAATTTAACTAATTGGGAAAAGTCTCTTTTCTTTTGGAAAAGAACAAGAGATTGATATTGATTTTGACTAATGCCAGTAATTGGAAAAGAGAATAAAAAACTCATAGCAAAGCATGACTCAGTGGAAATTGTTATAAAATAGTTTTCTTTGTTGTTTTTTTTTTTTTATCCTCACACTCTTCAGGATCCCCTGGATTAGCATATTATATAATAGAACACATAATTAGATAATACTATGGTAACTCCAGAAGACATAACGATTGCATAAGAGTTGAGTTATTAAAAATGTGATTGAATTATGTAAAATGAATAATTTAAACAGGAATTTCTCCCCTTCCTTAAATAATATCCAATTCAACTTCCAGAACCTGAGTATTTAATTTGATATCTCTTAGATTGCTAATATTCAGAAAACACTTAAATACTTGAATTGGTCCCACTGGGAGAAGTTCCACTGAGTTTTTTTCATTTATATATTTTTCCACTGCATGGATACTTGTTTTGAAAAAAGTAATCTCGATAATAAAGAAACAGCGGAGAACCAAGATGGCGGCATAGGTTAATGCCGGAGTTTGCTGCTTTGAACAACTACTTCAAAAGTGAAACTAAAAGACGGAACAAACATCACCCAGAACCACAGGAACGCTGGCTGAGTGGAAGTCCTACAACTAGGAGGAAAGAGAAACGCATAGGGACACTCAGAGGAGGCGCAGTGCTGAAGTCAAATTCTGAGGTGCGGAGTGCGCGGAGCGGGCTGGCGGCGGAGGACGCGGTTGGCGTTTTCAATCGGGAGGGAGTCGCAGTCTCTGAGCTCCAGATACAGGCGAGTCTTTAGGGACCCAGACTCAAACTGGAGAAGCGGGACTGTCTGGCTTTGGTCAGAGCGAGTGCAGCTTTCTCTCCAAGCTTTGCAGCGGGTGCTGGGACTCAGAGAGGCAGAGCCCCTGGGGACAGGACTGAGAGCCGCCATAACTGCTCTCTCCGGCCCACCCTGTTGATCCTGTGCGACCCACCCCGCCCAAGCCCTGCACAGAGGCATTTGCCGGATAGCCTCAGGCAAAGGCTAGATTAGCACCTCCCTAGAGGACAGAAGTTCTCTCACTGCAGACACAGCTGATTCTCATAGCCACTTGGCCTGGAGGTCAAACCCTCCCTGGAATTAGCTACAACAATCAAGGTTTAACTATAAGCTGCGCACAAAGACCACTAGGGGGTGCACCAAGGAAGCATAACAAAATGCGGAGACAAAGAAACAGGACAAAATTGTCAAAGGAAGATATAGAGTTCAGAACCACACTTTTAAGGTCTCTCAAGAACTGTTTAGAAGCTGCTGATAAACTTAATGAGATCTACAAGAAAACTAATGAGACCCTCGATGTTATATTGGGGAACCAACTAGAAATTAAGCATACACGGACTGAAATAACGAATATTATACAGACTCCCGACAGCAGACCAGAGGAGCGCAAGAATCAAGTCAATGATTTGAAATGCGAGGAAGCAAAAAACACCCAACCGGAAAAGCAAAATGAAAAAAGAATCCAAAAATGCGAGGATAGTGTAAGGAGCCTCTGGGACAGCTTCAAGCGTACCAACATCAGAATTATAGGGGTTCCAGAAGATGAGAGAGAGCAAGATATTGAAAACCTATTTGAAGAAATAATGACAGAAAACTTCCCCCACCTGGTGAAAGAAATGGACTTACAGGTGCAAGAAGCGCGGAGAACCCCAAACAAAAGGAATCCAAAGAGGACCACACCAAGACACATCATAATTAAAATGCCAAGAGCAAAAGATAAAGAGAGAATCTTAAAAACAGCAAGAGAAAGAAACTCAGTTACCTACAAGGGAATACCCATACGACTGTCAGCTGATTTCTCAACAGAAACTTTGCAGGCCAGGAGGGAGTGGCAAGAAATATTCAAAGTGATGAATACCAAGAACCTACAACCAAGATTACTTTATCCAGCAAAGCTATCATTCAGAATTGAAGGTCAGATAAAGAGCTTCACAGACAAGGAAAAGCTAAAGGAGTTCATCACCACCAAACCAGGATTATATGAAATGCTGAAAGGTATCCTTTAAGAAGAGGAAGAAGAAGAAAAAGGTAAAGATACAAATTATGAACAACAAATATGCATCTATCAACAAGTGAATCTAAGAATCAAGTGAATAAATAATCTGATGAACAGAATGAACTGGTGATTATAATAGAATCAGGGACATAGAAAGGGAATGGACTGACTATTCTTGGGGGGGAAAGGGGTGTGGGAGATTCGGGAAGAGACTGGACAAAAATCGTGCACCTATGGATGAGGACAGTGGGTGGGGAGTGAGGGCGGAGGGTGGGGCGGGAACTGGGAGGAGGGGAGTTTTGGGGGGGAAAAAAGAGGAACAAATGTAATAATCTGAACAATAAAGATTTAATTAAAAAAAAAAAGAAAAGAAAAGAAAAATAAAAAATAAAAGAAAAAAAAAAGAAAAAAGTAATCTCTACATAAGAAACAATGATGACAGCTATACTGACATAAATTGAATAAATAATATATACTTTTGGGACTATATGTCAATGCACAGATTATACACCCTCCTCCGTGTATATGTGTATATTTGCATAGAAGTAAATGGGATGATATTCCTAAGAAGGTACTTGAACTAAATAATTGTGAACTACATTTATGTTTAAAATTTCATTTTCAATTTTTTTCCTAATGTCCAAACCAGAAAGAAAAAAAAAAAAAATCAGGATCTCTCTTTTCTTTCGAATTAGAAGTTTGATTTCATGGAGGAAAGCTCTGAGCTCTGTAATAATGTCTGGATGCCTTTATTTTTATCCCACAGTTATCAGTATATTGCTATACAAGTACCTGCCAGCAAAGGCTTTTTTTCTGGTTCAATAACGTTTTAAATGTCTGTTGTTCCCATTTTCAAGTCTCCAAAACTTTTATGTGAATTCT